CGGGCCTGCCCAGTTCGTCTTAGTGTGTAATAGTCATGTGGGACCCACACGCCTGCCCGGTTCGTCTCAGTGTGTAACAGTCATGTGGGACCCACACACCTGCCCGGTTCGTCTCAGTGTGTAACAGTCATGTGGGACCCACACGCCTGCCCGGTTCGTCTCAGTGTGTAACAGTCATGTGGGACCCACACGCCTGCCCGGTTCGTCTCAGTGTGTAACAGTCATGTGGGACCCACGGGCCTAGCGCTCGCTGCAGCTCATACACAAAAGGGGGGAGAAGCAGAGGTCAGGTCACAGCCACTGGGCCGAGGGTTCCTGGGGGCAGAACTGTGGACGGAGAGTTGCCAAGGAGGAAGTGGGCAGGTACCCCAGGCCCAAGGAGCAGCCTAAGCACATGCCCAGGGGATGGTGGCGAGGTATTATCAGTGGAGCAGCGCTGACGTCCATGGCTCTCAGGGGTCAGTGAGCAGGGTGCACACCGCCCTCAGTGGAAGCACAAGGCTAGGTGGAGGGCGAGCAGGCCTCTACCACACCCAGGACCATTGGCCAGTCACCTACATCCCCATTCCCCGCTTCTCTCCTTTCTTTCCAGTCCGGCTCTGAGGAAAAGAGATTCTTGTGTGCACACCCCCAATGCTTCTTTCCAGGCGTCCACCTCTGGGGCTCGCCACCCAGCAGTCAGACCACCAAGATTGCTATCCGGCCCCCAGCTCCTCCCTGCCGACCAAAGTCCCGCTCGGCTTCTCTAACGGGCATCGGCCAGAGGTCTGCTCAGCTTCCGTAAGCAGATGTGGAGGACACATTCATCTTCAGTCAGAGAGGCAGGCTCCCGCCTGCAGAGCACATCTGGTCTGAGTGGCCACAGGGCCCAAGTACAGAACACCGAGCCCCGCTGGGCTCCTTCAACCGCTTAAAACCCCCGCGTATCAGAGAGACAGTCTCTGGGATATTTTACACAATGCCTGGAACTCAATTAATAATCTAAGAAGGAACCAGTCACCCGTGAGTCCTAAAACTGGACCTGTCATCCAACTGTCCACGGAGTCAGGAAGCTGTCTATGAGGCGGCTTAGTGGAGGAGTAGGGGTGAGGTCTGCCAACTCTTACCGCCTGCGGAAAGGCGGAGTCAGGACCAACTCTGGGTTCTCAGTGGCACTCCAAGGGCAGTGGCAGGAGCCATGCTCCCTCCTAGCCGGTGCACCGCAGATACAGCCCCCTGCTGTCAGTGCAGGCTGCGTAGTAAGTGTGGACGGTGCTTCCAGACTCCCACACATAGGAAGACAGGCCTGCTGATCGAGCAGCCACTGAAACCCGTATGGATGACCACAGTGACACTGACTCGGCATTCTGTCCCGCGTTGGGGGCCAACTCCATGGCACCTCAGGGATGAAGTCTTGCCTACTACTTACCAGGGCTTCGGCGGCACTACCTGTCCAATCCCAGAAGCCCGGCTTCATGCCTCCTGCCCTCCCCCACCCCACCCCCAACACATGCATCCACACACTCGCACAAACGCGCCTGCGTTTTGAAATATAGTTTCTCTGATGAAATGCACCGTGTGGTTTTAGAAATGTTCCTATACACAAGCTTTAAATTACCTGATTTTGTATTCACACCTAATGAGATTACGGACATTTTAGGACTAATAGCAGTGCTGGGTTTGAAAAAGGCAGCAGCAGGGACATTATGAAAAATTCAGCACTGCTCCCTAAATGTGAATAAAATAGATGCTCAACTGACAAAGTGTCCTTTATAGCTCTATTTTTGCTCCTTTTGCATTTCCCCTGCTCAGTCGTCAGTAAATTTCTCTTTACCATATTAAACTTTTATACATACAGAGCTACATCAGTGCCGCAGGCACTGATTTCGATTTTCAAAATTGAATTTTGGGTGGTGACAGCAATTGGTACAGCGGCCCCTATTCTAGTCACACAAAGGGACGCATAAGCACTTTTGGGAAAGGGTGTCGCAAATTGCTTTGCTAATTAAGGTAGAGCTGGATTCGGTCCAGGAGGATCTATGAAAAAAGGTTTTCATGACTTGGTAATGAACTTATGAAATGAGTTCACATTGTTACGGGGACCTGTTCCCTTCAATTCAATTGAAAATATCTTTCTTGAGCACCTACTAAGTAGAGAGCGGTTGTGGGGGAGGTAAAGAGGAAGACCCCAGTCCTGGTCCTGGCAGGAACAAAACTGGCAATCAGGCATCAGGCTGAGGAGACGGGCAAGCTGCACCAACAACGTACACATGCCACAGGCTGCCTGCAATCCCGCTGCAGTCTTGGAAGGGCGGGCAGGCTGCGGCAGGGGCCCAAAGGCGGGAGCACATCGGGTCACCGGGTGGAGCCCAGTCCCAAGGCAGTGGCAATTCACCAAGTGCGTCCCAGAGCGTGGGAAAGCCAGAGTCCCCGCATGGCCTTCAGAGCTGGACCTTGGGATGGGTGGTGTGGATATCTGAGGGGTGTCTGGGAGAAGGAGGCATGAACAAGGCACAGGGTAAGGGTGTTCCGGGCAGGCAGGGATCTTAAGCTGAGCCCAGGGAGGGCTTCAAGGGCCTAGCAAGACACCAAGTTTTTGGTAAGCTGTGAGACTGGGCTGTGTGTGTGATAGTGGTGGCCCAGAATTTACACGCCATTCTCAAAGGTTAGCGATTGGCCAGTCTGGGAGGCAATGAGCTGACAGCGTCCCTGAAGCTGGGGTTTGTCGTTGAGGTGGTGATGGGCAAGCTTGGGAGCAGGCGGGGACAAAGGTCAGAGGGCACTGAAGGCCTCATGCAGCTGTCAAAGGGAAAGGGAAGGACCTTTGAATGACTCCTTCCAGGAGGGGTCCCTAGATGGGGAAACCTGCCAAGGGCATGTCATTCCGGCTCAAAGCCCACCCCAAACCCTGGCCATGGGGTCCATTCTGACTCTGTGAGCCTTTCTCCTGCAGCACCAGGCCTCACTGCTTGGTAGCCGCACATCCTGCGGTCAGCAGTCCAACACCTCACCCACAGTGTCACAAAACCCCACCCCACCCCAGCATGCTCTCCACCAGCCTCACAGCAGGGAGAAAAGGAGAGCGGGAGCGTCAGCATCAAGTTCACCTGTCAGGGTTGGGGGTAACCACACTGAGGTGTCTTCTCCGCTGCCAGCATGGGCCAGACAGCTGGGGAGCTCCTTGTCACCTCAAAGAACGCCAGGGGCCAAAACAAGATTATGTAAAACCTTTACATTCTCCTCAGAGAAGCTCATTTACATGGCTGTGAACCCAAGGCCAAGTTCAAGTGTTTCAAACAGGCCCACTCTTATGTACAGCTGGACACAATGGAGCACAAGAGCTGCCTGTGGGTGACGGCGTCTCTCCAGGCACCTTCCTCTGAGCTGCACCCACGCTAAGAGCGGGTGCTGGTGCAAAGTCAGCCCCTAATGAACTCACTCAAAGGATCTGCTCCTTTGCCTGCAGTGAAGCCAACAATCCCACCTTCTCCCAGGCTGGGAGCCTCTGTGATTCAGCCCTGGGCGCTGCAGGGAAGACTATGACTGTCTTCAAAGGGCCAACCCTCCACACTCACCTTGAGAAGGGCCTACCGAAGGACGAAGGACGTGGCGTGGGAGCAGTGTGGCGTGTTCCTGCGTCCTCCCCTCGTGGTGGGTGCAGGGGGAACAGGAAGACTCCCCAAAGACGATGTGAGGTAGGGTCGAGCGCGGCGGTGGTTTCTGTGTTCTGCCATCAAGTCTGAACAACTCATTGGCCTCCTCCTGACCCCGCGAGCTTTCTGCTCTGGTAACCCACCTGACAGCCACCTTCTCCCCGCTACCCCAGGAAGTCCTGGCAGGAGGGCTGGGGCAGCAGGCAGGTGAGCACCCAGAGACTGACTGTCCATAGCCCGAAGACAGGGTTGAACAGGGAGCGGGAAGAAACAGAGGCTCAATGTGTGTGGAACAAGGGACTGTCCGAACAAGCAGCTCGCTCTGGAGGAAGGGCAGCGCTGAGGCCAAGGTGCTGGATCTGCCCTCCCTCTGCTTATTTTCCTTATTTTGATTCCTTGTCCATAAAATGGAAATAGTAACAGCCACCTCACCATGGTGACGTAGCAGGCCATGCGCTGAGGTGCTACCACAAAGGCAGCAGTTCAAAGCCACCAACTGCACTGTGGGAGAAAGGAGAGGCTTTGTGCTCCTGTAAAGACTGATAGCCTCCCTTGGAGACCTGCAGAGGCAGTTCTACTCTGTCCTACGTGGTTGCCATGAGTGAGCTTGAGACCCTGAGACCTCTAAGGATTAGACTGATGAGCTCACAAACACCGAACCATGCCGTGAGGCTGGTTCGGATGAATGCAGGAAGCCAGGAGGCTGAGGGTGGGCTGCCTGTCTTTCCCTGGGAAAGGAACAAAAAGAATGCAAGGGGAAGTGCCTCCCATGCCAGCCTGTCTTCCAGAAAGCAGCCTAGCCCTAGCTCCTGCTTAGCCAGGAGCCTACCACAAACCACCTTTCTCCCCTCATCCTCGTGGAAGTGCTGGGGCTGGGAGTGACTCACAGGGCCATCTTCCATTTCAGCGGGGGCTGCTGCCCAGGCGCACGCTCAGGTGACATCAGGATGAGGGCGCGTGTCAGGGGTCCTGGGCGATGGGCCTGCTGCACCAGGATGCACAGGCTCCTGCCACCAAGAAAGCATTCATCAGCTGCGACGCAGCCGGTAAGAGCGAGCTCCGTGACTTGCCTCTGCGACTATGACTCACACCTGAGTGGGCCCACAATGGAGCCTGGAACTACCTCACTCGGTGATGGCGGACGAAGGATGTCGACTCCAACGAGAACTCTCTCCCCTCCCCTTTGGACCCCTCTTTCACTCACCCTCAACTGGGTGAGTGTGACAAAGGCGTTCTCACCACCCCAGGGCGTGTGCTTGCCAGCTGGGGCCCAGCCTCCGCTGTTCTCTCAGCCAGCTGGGCTTGAACTTGAACTTTGTAGGAAGAGAGCACGCTATGCGCCTGCCCAGCTGAAAGCTCCTGGGAGGCGACAACAGGCTTAAGTGCCCTTTCTGTTGTTCCTGCAACTCCCCCCACAGCCAGTCGGCCCTCAAATGCACTCTCACTGCTCCAGACCTGGAGTAAGTCCCTCCATCCAGTTCTGCCACATCTGCCCCTCCATTCAAACAACCGTCTTGTGAGCCATAGCCCATCGCTCGTGTATCTGTTCACTCAGACATTTACGGAGCCTTTCATTAGCTATGTAGACACCAATACGCTTGGTCACTGTGGCACTTGTTCCCGGAGTGCTATGGTGACCCGACTATCAGACTTGGGGGACAGAGGGTGGCACACTGCTAGTAACAAGGCCAGTCAAGCCTGGCGCACAACTGTCCCACCCTATCAACACCATCCCCAACGGGAATAGCATCTCTTCTGCACCAACGGAAACCTCGGCTCCCATCACTCCATTTCCCATCTCAACTACTTTGGTCCCTGTGTGCTGTCCCAAACACACAGCGCCTCAGCCACCTTAAAGCTGCCTCCATACACCCCTCCCTCCCACCCAAGCCAGCCCACTGCCGTCGAGTCCACTCCCACTCACAGTGGCCCTACACAGAGGTTCCGAGCTGCAAGTACATCTTCATGGGAGAAGACAGCCTCATCTTTTTTCCGTCAAAGTGGCTGGTGGGTTTGAACTGCCGACCCTGTGGTTCAGAGTCCAGTGTCTAATCTACAAGTCTACCAAGAATCCTTTACCCCCTCCTGCTCCGGTACTTCCCCCAAAGAAGACAACTCAGATTCTAGTCCTTTTCGTTGTTGCAGCTTGCAAAGTTGGTTTCCTTGTTTTAAAAACAGTCCCACCTGTTGGCCGAGCATTTGCCCGGCCCTAGCTGTGGTGCTGGCTACTTTACACGCATCCTACAATCCTGCCCCGCTGTTCAACTGTCAGATTGTCCACCTGGGGTGGCTGGGGGGTTACAGTGGTGCTGGAAGCTGTGCTAGCAGAATCTCAAACACCAGCAGGGTCGCCCGTCCATGGTGGACTAAAGCAGACTACGAAGCACTTCATAGTCACTTCTGAAAAAACCAAAACAAAAAAGCCCTGGCCACTGAAAACCCAAGAAGAGCAGGGGAACACTGTTGTACATAGTACTGAGAGTTCAGCCCCTCCGGTTGAACCCCAAAACGCTATTGGGAAGGAGCTAACTCCCCCAAACAAAAGTAGGCTTTAATGATGTGGACAGAGCAAGGCAGAGCACACTTTCATTTGCTGCTATAGCACAACTAAAAATGCAAACAGTTGCAAACAGCCATTAATAACCGGAATTTGGAATGCATGAAGTATGAAACTAGTCTAGGAAAACTGGGAGTAATCAAAAATGAAGGGGATCTTCTAGGCATTGTTAGTGAGCAGAAAAGAACTGGCACTGGTCATTTGAGTCAGACAGTCATAGGGTCTATTGTTCCAGGAATGGCACTGCATGCATGTCCAAAAGAGCTTGCCAGACTCGACCCTGAAGTACAAGGTACCAGTGGCAGGAGACTACGCACACCTCTCCAAGGGAGATCGCTGATTAGGACCTTTGTTCAAGTTATGAACCAACTGCAGTGTGGGAAACTGAGAACCGGGAAGAGAGCGTATGCGGGCAAACCCAACATTCATAGGAGTCTGGGAGGCCAAGGCTCCTGTGGAGTTTAGAAACCTTCACGTTCGTGGGCTGGAGATGCGTCCCACTCACATTCTCCTAAGTAAAAGTTATTCCTCTCAATGACCGCCCCCCACCCCCCAATAATAATGCCAAATTTCAGGTGCTGTCAGCAAGCACATGGTCACTGACTATACTTGGAGGTCATCGGCTTGAAGGTTGTCAGCATCTAAGGCAATCAGACTATTGTCTGTCCCACATACGTAGGACCCCGTCCCTTCTGGTAAGGATCATAGAGGGCTCCCCTGGAGAAGGGCTCAAAGACACCTATGGTCAAGCCAACTCAGAGACCAAGGTCAGGCTGCCATTTTGACTCTAGAGCCTGTCCATCTTGTTACATTTGTGCCTTCCTGTCACATGTGTGCCCTAGTGCCTCCCCTTCCTATTGCATGCACACCCCTAGCTCGTCCCCCTCCTGTTACGTGTATGCCCATTGAACAGCCCCTCCATGTGATGTAGGCGCTTAGGTTGGCCTGCATGCTTGAGATTACATAACCCCGTGAGTCCATTACGTGCTCTCTCTCTGCTAGGGCCTGGCTGCTGAAGTCACGAGTAAGAGCCCTTGCAATGCTTTCTCTTGTCTGTGTCTCTTTAATTCACCCTCAGCTACATAACCGCCCCTTAGACCCTCTCGATTGTGGGGAGGCTGGTCCCCCACACACAGGCAAAGCCAATGGTAAAGAAAGGGAACATTTTTATCAATGTCTTTGGTCTGAATTGACCACGCAAGCCATCAGGACACACTGGTAGTCACTGGCGATGGGGATGAAAAGATGGAAAGACCCAACCGTGGATGGAAGACGCGGGCTTGGCAACAGAAACGACATGCACGCACGACTGCGAGACCAATGACTCTTCACGGCCAGTGCCGCTTTCAGCGCATCACACTTGTGACCTCCCTGGATCGACTCTAACTGTGTGAAGAGACCGTGGCGAACTCCCTCATCAGTCAGAGGAAGGCCAAGGGCTGGCTAGAGAACAGACCTCCAGATGTCAAAGAATGCTCACGTTGAAGCTGGAGAACATTAAAACAAGTCCCGGAGAGTCAAACGACCTTGCACATATCCCACCTGAGCCATCTCAAGAATAGAGTTGATGCACTGAACACCAACGAACAAAGTTCAGACAAGGTGTGGGATGACATAAAGGACATCACACATGAGGAAGACATTAAAAAGGAGTGTGTGTGTGTGTGTGTGTGTGTGTGTGTGTGCAACCAAAATGGATGCTAGAAGAGATTCTGAGGCTTGCTTGTGAATACAAAGTAGCTGAAACAAATGGAAGAAATGATAAAGTATAGAGCTGACTAGAGGACGATTTCAAAGACGCTCAAGAAAACAAGGTAATTAAAGCATTATATACTGAAACGTGCAAAGATCTAGAGTTAGAAAAGCAAAAGGGAAGGCACACTTGGACTTTCTCAAACAGAAAGATCTGAAGAAAAATCCAAGCCTGGAGTGGCACTATTGAAGGAGTCTCTATCGGGCAAAATCTTGAACACAGAAAGTATCACAGAGAGATGGGACGCAATACAGAAGAACCAGTCAGTGTGCAACCATCCAGGAGGCGTTGTAAAAAGCAGTCCAAGCTGCAGTAAAGACACTGGCAAGACACAAGGCTCTGGGAACTGCCAGGATAGCAAGTGAAGTGTTTCAGCAAACAGATGCAGTGCTAAAAGTGCTCACTTGTCTAGACCAAGACATTTAGAAGGCAGTAAGTAATCTGGCCAACCAACTTTCCAAGGAAAGGTGATTCAGCAGGGTGTAGAAATTACTGAAGAATATCATTAAATATCCCATGAAAGTAAAATTTTGCTAGAGAAAATTCCAAAGTTGTTACAGTAGTATACTGACAGGCAACCAACAGAAATTCACAACGGATGCGGAAGAGGAGGTGACAGCTGGATCTTGGCTGAAAGCAGAGCTACCAGAAAGATGTTCACTTATGTTTTATTGCCTATGCAAAGGCAACTGACTGTGTGGATCACAACAAATCACAGACAACATTTAGAAGAATGAGAACGCCAGGACACAATTAATTGTGCGCATATGGAACCTGTATGCACACCAGGAAGCAGTCACGTGCCCAGAACGAGGGGAGATGGAGCGGTTGACATCAGGGATGGGGTGTGTCGGGTCCTGTCTTTAACCATGCTTATTCACTCTGTCAGCTGAATAAAGCGTCCGAGCAGCTGGACTCTACAAAGAAGAACGCAGCATCAGGACGGGAGGAAGACCCACTGACACCCTGCCATGTGCAAAGGACACAACCGTGCCTGCTAACAGCAAAGATGACTGGAGGCGCTCACTGATGAAGACCACTGACTACGGCCTTCGCTGAGGACCCGAACACGACATGAGGGAGCCAAAGCATCTTCATAAGTAGCTCAGTCAGCAGTGCCGCGCTACAGAGAGAAGAGACTGACGCAGTCACGGGTTTCATTGTACTTGGATCTGCAACAACAGCCAAGACATCAAATGGCACAGTGCATCGGGCACATCTGCAGCAAAAGACCGCTTGAAGTGCTGAGGAGCAAAGCTATCACGTGAGGACGAAGGTGTGCTGACCGAAGCCATCGTACTGGGGGCTTCAAAGTTCATGGGCAAAATTCCATGACCTTTCCTTTCCACTTTCCCAGGAACTTTGGGAAGCCTCCTTGGCTTTTTCAATTGCCTCTAATGCACGCAGACGTTGGACACCGAATACACAAGACCAAAGCATAACCGATGCCTTTGAATGAAGATGTTGGCAGAGAATATTGACGATACCATGGACTGCCAAACAAACAACTGTTTGGAAACAGCACAATCAGAAGGTTGCTCAGAAGCAAGGAGGCAAGACTTTGTCTCCTATGTGTGGACACGTTATGAATAGGGACCAGAGTCCTT